TAACAACCATGTGTATTTTGCCATTTTCCAGGTGTGCATCTTCCTCTTGCAAGGTTGGGGTGGGGGTGGGGGTCTGATGTCGGGATCCAAGCTATAGAAGTAATTCTTGGCTCAGAATAGAAATCAGATGACTTCCTGTAATTTGTTTCCTGTGTGCTGTATTAACATATTTAATAGCCTCAGCTGATCAGGACCTGGGGACTTTCTCTGAAAACCCAACTCTGCCTTTAGATACACTTTGCGAACAAAAGAGTTTGACAAGGGACAAGGGAGGAGGGGTGGGAGAGGGAAGTGGGTTTGACATGTGAAGCGTGCATGTTTCTAATTTAAATAAAAACATATATTGAGAAAAAAGTAAGCGTTTAACAGTATCACTGTAAATTTACAAAACCAGGCAGCCAGCCAGGTCACTTTAATAAGTTGGCGCTAGAGCAGTGGTTCTCAACCTGTGGGCCATGACCCCTCTGGGAGTCTAACAACCCTTTCATAGGGGTTGCATATCAAATATTTACATTGCAATTCATAACCATAGAAAAATTAGTTGTGAAGTAGCTACAAAAATAATTTTATGGTTGGGGTCTCCACAGCATGAGGAACTATATTAAAGGGTCGCAGCATTAGGAAGGTTGAGAATTAGTAATGTAGAAAATTACTGTTGCTAGTTCATTTTGATTTTTCGTTAGTGTGCTGAGAATATACACCATTTTATAGTTTCCTAGCAGCTTAGTTTTAAATGCGGTTGCTCGATTTAAATTTATCTACTAATTTAATTGTAAGGGCTTTCTCTGGCTCCTACTTCAAATTGTTTTTCTTTACCTTCACAAATCTCCTAGCCTTGACTAGGCTGGTGAGTACAGTTGTATCGGGCCATATGAACCTAAATTGTTGCTATCAATGTGGAGGACAAGAATATGCCACCCCGGTGTACAACACTGTCAAACAGATCAATATGAGCCGAGATACATGAGAACCAACAGATGCACAAAAAAGCCTTCCTAGGGCTTCTCTTACATGAAGGAAACAGATATTCCTAGGAAACAAGTGCTCTGAGTCCTCTTTCCTTGACATGCAAAAAAGGATGGAGTGCCCCTCAGAGAGGCCTATGCTCAGATTTCACTCTGGCCCAGTCTAGGCTTTAGCACTCAGTATTCCAGCTATGATTTATAAGGTCACATCCAGACCTCCAATCACTCATCAGTACTGGGTCCTAAATCCTGAAGCTATTTTCCCTGCGAACCAGGGAGGCAGGAAGTGAAGATGAGAAGCACCATTTGTAAATATATAGTTGTAATAAGGCCAGATTTCGCCTCGGTCCAGAAAAATGCTGAGAGTTGTATGGCCAGGGTGGTCCTTGAAAGACATATAGAATTATATTTGGCACAAGACTATGTAGAATCAATCAGAAATGACATCTAGTGGCAATACAAGAAAAGAGGCCTGGAGGCTTTCTAAGAAGTATATGCTACGTGTGAGAGGCCCAGCAGGCAAATACCTCCCTGCTTTGTGAGCCAACCCATTCCTGGATTCATATGTACTCATAAAGATAGGCCATCTGTGGAAGCACAACTTCCGAATTTTTCCTGATTAAGCATCTGAAGGCTGGCTTCCAAAAGATAGGTATAATTGCTCCCCTCTTGGATGGAAATGAAACCCAAATATGTGGTCTTGATTATCACAGTGGAAGAGAGGACTGACAGATTTAAGACACTCCATTTCTGCCAAGATCATCACACTTTCCTTTAAAAAAAATCATTTTTCCATTCCCTTCTCCAGTTGATGAATAGATTAAAAGGCACTTAGATTTCTGAAACCACTTGGCAGGAGACATTCCTCGGAAGGGTTGGATGTTTTAAAGATTGGTTTGGTCTCTCTTTATAAACTAGGAAGGGGAAAAATAAAATTTCCACATCTATCAGCTTTAGAAGCACATGCCAGTCTATGAACTGATAGAAATTATTGGCTGCTTTTATTTCTTCAATGTTTTTCTAAAGCACGCAAGGAGGTGTCTAATCCCAAGGGAATGGTCTGGAGCCATGTTTTTACCAGATGTGTTTTTAGTGGGCCCAGGACAACTACCTGAGAAAATGCAAGGTGACTTTTTATACTATAATTCATCCTTGTTAGTCTCATTTCTACCACATTTATTTTAATTCTGTAAGAATTTTGATCACAAATGGAAAGAGCACTATGAAAAGATCAGAATCAAAATGGACTTATTATGCCCTAAGAAAATGGAATTAATAAGATATGCAGTGGGATTGAGTGGGTGGCCTTCACATATATTTGACTGATATCAAAAATGTTCACAAAGAGACTCGGCCAAACCACAACTTGGCACACAACTACTTCTACAAAGATGTTTGTCTAGTTTGCCCTTTGACCTAAAATCATCAAAGACAATTATTTCAAAACAATTTACATCATCTTCCCTGTTTACATTTTGTGGTTTGAATAGGAATGGCCCCTGTAGACTCACGTGTTTAAATGCTTGGCCCATAGGAAGTGGTGATATTAAAAGGTGTGGCTTTGTTGGAGGAAGTGTGTCACCGTGGAGGAGGGCTTTGAGGTCTTATATGCACAAGCTAGGTCTAGTGTGGCAGTCTCCTTCTGCTGCCTGTAGATCAACATGTAGACCTCTCAGCTCCTTCTCCAGCACCAAGTCTGCCTGAATGCTACCATGCTTTTTGACATGATAATGGACTAAACCTCTGAAACTGTAAGCTGGCCTCAACTAAGTGTTTTCTTTTATAAGAGTCACCATAGCCATGGTGTCTGTTCACAGCAAGAGAAGCCATAAGACAGCACCCTCTCCCAGGTTGCAACCCTGTCATCCCTAAGGAGGAGTAGTGTTTTGGAAAGCCAGTCTTCCTGCTCTTACTTTGTGTTAAAAATTCTGAGACTTCTTTTGCTTGCTTGTTTGGTTTCTTTCTGGAGACAGGATCTCTGGGCAACCCCAAACTGGAATTTGCAATGTAGGCCAGATTGGCCTTGAACTCATGGTCTTCTTGCTTCTACCATCTAAGGTCTAGGATTACAGGTGTGCACCCGACCCAAGGGTCAGTGCTGTTTTATGAACAGCATTTAAAAATATCTTTTTCCTGACTTTTAATTTTTAAAAACATTTTGACAGTAAACATTATTTTACAGTTTGGTGGTTCTGCTGGTTTTCCTGTGACAGAATTCTTCTCCCAACTCACTACATGTGAGTGGGACTATGAGATCAGCTCTGCCTCACTGACTTAGCAGGTAACACTGGCTCTTCTTATTTTTTTTAAATTTAAGTTAGAAACAAGCTTGTTTCACATATCAATCCCAGCTCCCTCTTCCTCCCCTCCTCCCCATCAGGCCCCCCATCCCCCACCCAATCTCCACTCTGATTCCCAGGGAGGGTGAGGCCCTCCATGGTGGATCTCCATAGTCTGTCATTTTATCCAGGGCAGGACCTAGGCCCTCCCACAAGAGTCCAGGCTGAGAGAGTGGGATGGGCACTCAAAGTCTATTTGTACACCAGGGATAAATACTACCCAAGGCCCCATAGATTACCTAGGCCTCCTTACAGATATTCAGGGGGTCTTGGTCAGTCCCATGCTTTCCACACAGCCATCAATCTGGAGTCCAAGAGCTCCCCCTTGTTCAGGTCAATTGTTTCTGTGGGTTAAACCAGCCCAGTCTTAACCCCTTTGCTCATCAGTTCTTCCTGTCACTGGATTCCAGGAGTTCAGTTCAGTGTTTAGCTGTGGAACACTGGCTCTTCTGAACCAGAATACTTCAGAGCCTGTGCATGACCCTTCAAAGCAAGGTCTCTCTTGTTACTCTTGCAAACCTGCCTCAGATCCTAAACATCTGGAACTACAGACATGTGGCCCCATGGCTAGATGTATACATGATTTTTATTCTGTATACCTCTCACTATCATAGACACAAAAGGGCGGGGATGGACACATGGATGTGAGTGTCTCTAAGGGAGTTCAGAAAGACATATACAAGTGTGGTATGGGCTCCTCAAGGGACAGTGTTAATTGTCTTAGCATAAGCCAGACAAGTCATTTTGGTGGCTCTCAAATCTCTAAAGGCTACTGAGCCCCTCATTTTTTTTTCCTCTTTTGATACGTGAGATTATAGGGAAGTCTGGAGATGTCTTTGAGAGTTATAATCATATAAGGCAAAACCAGAAGCCACTAGGTCTGAGCAAGGGGTTTGGTACATGTCCTTTCCCTATAAATCCATTTTCTGGTGAAATTCCTAGAAAACAGCATGTTTGCAGCTCAAAACGGGTAGGGTCTTCAGCAGTTGTCCATTGTGCTGGAATTCTTGCTTTTCTGCTGGCAAAAGGCTTCAATCAGATTCCTGGATGAAAAGTTCCTCTTTTCGTGTTCCCAGAATTTTCCATCTTTCTCATATGCCTCACAACCACAACATAAACCATCAAGGTAAGCAAAGCACGCATCTGCCCACATGGACTGAAGGCATAAAGCACGCATCTGCCCATGGGGCTGGAAGAGTGTAGGGCAGGAGACAGCCTTCCTGGCTTGAAGCAGCTTTGACCTACACTGTGGCTACAAAGCAGTGACACTCTGCTGCCATCCCAATCCTTGTGTTTAAGAATATTGGAGATATAGCTGGGCGTTGGTGGCGCACGCCTTGAATCCCAGCACTCAGGAGGCAGAGGCAGGAGGGATCTCTGTGAGTTTGAGACCAGCCTGGTCTACAAGAGCTCGTTCCAGGACAGCCTCCAAAGCAATACAGAGAAACCCTGTCTCGAAACCCCGCCCCCACAAAAGGGTATTGGAGATATATAGGGCAAAACTGAGATTTCAGATGGACTAAATTCTTTATAATTTTCCCACATAACTACAGAGCACAGTTCCTGCTGTGCAGAGCTTCAGCAAACACACGGTATTAGGAGCTACAAATCAGACCCCAGAAATTAAAGATGCCTTCACAGTCCCCCTCTGCCAGGAATTTTCCCAAGGAAAGGTGTGTATGTACACAAAACTAAATAAGAAGCCCCCCAAAAATCAATTTTATTGAATCAAGGCATTCATTCAGCACTTAACACAAATTGCAAGAATACCTCAACATGTTGGGTTGCAAGAGAGGGAGCAGTTTACATTTTTAATGAAAAAAAAAAAAACTAATTGCTACAGATATTTTGTAAAATACCCAAACAAGGTCTAGCCAAGTTTAGTGATCCCCTACCCCCGCTGCTTAAAGAAAGCTAGATGATGTGAGTATTACTGGTTATAACTAATAAATCAGCTTGGAAAATCCTAAGACACAAGCATAAATACAATATAAAAAGGCAAGATTTTTAAAATCGTATTATAAGAATATTAACAGGAAGTGGAAAAGACACATTAAGAACAGAGATGCGTTACACTAGTTTGAAACAGAATTCAAAGGCAGACCAAAACTGATGCACACGGAGAAAAATGCTCTGTTTTCAGGAAGTGTGTTCAGACGGACACAACCACAGAGAAATGCTGTCGGTGACTGTGTGGTCCCCTCTGTCACTCAGCCTTGCATCCCAGGCAGAATGGCTACACTTTCTCTAAGGACTTGTAGTACTCCACCAACACAGTCCAGGCCTTGGGAGCCATGAAGCCTTCTGGAGGCTTCTGACCTTCACGTGCCAGTTTGCGCATCCGTGTTCCTGAAATAAATTCAAAATCTTCATGGCTGAAAAAGAGAGAAAACGTAGTCACTTCACTGTCTTACAAAGTTACTAAGAAATGTTTAAGGGGCATCTGACCCTCCCTTCAGTTCATGTTAAGTTTAAACTAGCGAGAGAAAGCATCAATCTCATGTCTAATTTGTCATTGAGCAAAACCACCACACAACATCCTTCAGTTTTAGAGCTAGGACACACACAAAAATCTACTGAAGTTATTAAGGAAATCAGTGTCTTACAAAAGTTACAAATAACACAGCAACTCTGTGCCCTCGATAACTTGCCCCTCCCAGCAGGGCCATCCTGCCCAGCACAGCAGCCATTGCAGTGAGGTAATGGCACAGAGATGAGCTGTCATCACTCCCGGGCCTCCTCAGCTTTCCCGCTTCTCTTCTCCAAGTGAGTACTTAGCTCCAAATAATCAGCACTCAGGCTCGGGGAATTGCCACTGCACGGTCACTGCGCAGCTCCCAACCCTTTCCTGACCTCCCTCTACTTCCCTGTCTCACTCACCCTTCTCCAGCCCCTGGGAAGTGCTGTTAGCCTTGGCATTTCTCTTAAGATTTATGTACTTAAGGTGTGCGTGTGTGCCGTGCATGCAGATGCCAGAAGAAAGCACTGGATCCCCCTGAACTAGAGCTGGTGTCGGGGCTGGAATACAAACTCAGGTCCTCTGGAAGAACAGCAGGTGCTCCTGACACTGAGCTATCTCTCTAGTCCTGGATTCATTTATGTTTATTCTCATAAAACACGAAGACGAATCTGCCTGGCACAGATTAAACATTTAGAAAGCTTTCATCTGAAAGTCTGGGACATGATGCGACAGACACAGGAGCCACCCACACTGTCCCTTAGATGAGATACCAATGAGCAAACAGGCTTCCTTGTCTTTAAACACACAAAACCACATGGAAGTCTTTAGACCATCAGCTCGGGCATCTACACCCACAGCACATGCTGTTTATCTGTAATTCACCTGCTGCTTCCAAACATGGAACCAACTCAGAAAGCAAGAGTTCCAGGTCTCTTCTGTCACCACGTCCTAAATAAGCTACCACCTGCTCTGATTAGAGTATTACAGTGAACATCAGATAAAAAATTCAAGATGTAACTAACAGTTATGAATGAAATCAAGATTAGGTTGTGTACCCCAAGCTCACACTGAAAGCCCAGTTCCCAATGAGATGCACTAGGGGGTGGGGCTTTGGGGAGATGGCAAGAGTTAGAAGAGGTCACGAGAGCAAGATCCCATGGTGGGACTGACCCACTTACAAACAGAGACTCAGGATCCCCACAGTCATTCAAAGACACAGCAAGAAAGTGGCTGGCTGCCTGCCAATGCTCAGACCTGAATCTCCCAGCTTCAACATCTATGAGAAATAACTGTCATTTAAGCTACCCATGGTATTTTGTACAGACAGGTACTGTAATTCTGTCAAAATGCAGAGAAAGAAAAGAGGGAATGGAAGGCAACAGAGCCAGTAATGTCTATGAAATATTACAGGTGCTTATGTTCCGCTCACTTTGCTTCCTACAGTAATTATCAACTGTCAATGTTATCAAAATCAAATGACATATAAAGTTATCAGTAGTGTAAAAAAAAAACTTTCCAGCAACAAAATGAACCGAGACCTGTCCATGAGATTAAAAGTAGCTGCCCGTTCATCCCAGCACTCTGGAGGCTAAAGCTGGAGGACTGACCCAAGTCCAAGGCCAACCATGCCTACAAAAAGAGATCCTCCTTCAAAGAAATAGATACATTACAGATAAATAATCAGTAATGACCTCTATAGTGAATAAGACAGCTTGTTATATTTCCTAAAGATACCTTAAATCATTTCAAGTACTGTAACCTTAAATTAACCAGAAGCCTCAATTACCTGGACACCTTCCCCGAGAAGCTGATCACTAGGGTGCTGTTACATCGTTCTGTTCTCACAATGGTCACAACAGCCACTCCCCACCCCACCTGGCCGGTCCCTTCAACACAAACAAGAGTGTGAAAGTGGCCCCAGAACAGCGCCACAGACACAGGGCACCGGCAATAAATGTCACTGACTGGAGATCACGTACTTTATCATCTTTCCGCTGGAGGAGCTCAATGAATACCAGGAGAGCGTGAAGCAGCGAACAGGCGGTGTGAAGCACCTAGCTCAACACAGAATGCTTGTTGCCCCAAGACTCACAAATGCCAGCTTGAACTACTGTCCCATTTCCTTTCAATCTACATCTGGATTTCTTACATGGAGAATCCTTCACAATGATTTCAGCATAACACCTTCAGTCTAACTTCCTCCAGACCTTGCTGGCCTCCTCTGTGGGGGGACCTGGCAAGTCAACTTCCTAGCCTCAGACACTTGGCCTTTCCCACAATAAAGCGCTCTAGGTTGTCCTTTCACTGGAAATGGTCCAAGGACAAGAAAGACGCAACTTCTTAGTGATCACACTGTACACGCGGCATCTGCTTTTCTGGTGTGTGTGTTCAATGGTCAGACTGCTCACAGAGACAGACATGGCCTTAGCCACTGGCCTCTAAGCAGCAGCTCCACCTGGCAGGACGGCTTCCACTCCTCACAAACCATTCCTGAGACACCTGGTCCTAAACCTAGCTCTCCCTGGTGACCACCGAGACACCCCAGCGCTACACAGTGACACTGAGTATCCCAGTCCCCTCTGAACTTGTGTGGGCTTGGGTCTAGAACCTATGCACATGGAATGTGAGTATAAGCAGTGCCAGGAGACCAGTGCCGATGGTCTACACAGTCAGTGACAGAAGGCACTGCCCCCCCCCATTCACCATGTCCCGTGTGCTCGCCCACTTGACCAGCACAACCACATCACACCGAGCATCACACACGCTGGGCCCAGTGTCTTCAGACCTCTCATGCTCTCTAGAGAACTGTTTCAAATGACTAGAAAGTGATCAGAGATGATCTTCAGGAAACAGTCGCCCAATGCTGCTTCGAAACAAAACATTTAACGCTGAAATGTGAGGCTTACCTCCCACCTCTCTGAGTTTAATGTCTTGTAAGGAAAGGCAACGTGGGGGCTGGAGAGATGGCTCAGTGGTTAAGAGCTGCTCTTCCAGAGACCGCATGCTCACTTCCCAGCGCCCACATGGTGGCTTACAACCATAGGTACATGAAACTCCAGCTCCTGGGAATCGGACACCCTCCTCTGGTTTCAATGGGCACCAGGCATGTGGTACAAAGATATGGATGTAGTCAAAACAGCCACACACTTAAAAATTTAAAAATAAATATAAAATGGCAGCTTCAAAGTATTAGCCTCTAAACAGGTTGGCTACTATGGCTATAGATAGACAGACAGATAGACAGACAGATAAAAGGTTTATCCCCCACCCCTTTCTTACGTAAATTAAAAAGTGTTGGCACCATCATCTGTGTACTTATAATGAAAAGTGAATCTGAGAAAATAAGCTCTCACAAAAGGAAGTCCCAGCTCTAGGCAAAAGGAAGGGAGAAGAAAACCAAGATGGCAGTCAGACACAAGGACTCTTAAAATGTCAAAGCCATGAGGGACCCAGGGCAAAAGCAACCAACCAAAGCCCACACTCTCTAATCAGAATTTAAATTTCCTTCCATAGAAGAGATAGCCCATGATGATGAAAGAAAGGGGAGAATCACAGAAACGGCATTCATGGCGCAAGCAAGGCGGGATCTGTTTGTCGTAAGGGAGAGCTTTGTCGTAAGGGAAATGTTACCAAGCATCCAGGCAGAAGAAAATAAATGTCGACACAAAGGAGGGGGGCGATGACAGGATTTAAAGCAAGAGATGCCACGGCGAGTGAGGACCAGGCTTTAACAAGGAGGAAGGACAGGAGTCGAGCGCAGGAGACAAGAAGAGCAGCAGTTGGGAGGCGCCAGGCTGCCCTGAGGGCCACGAGCACCTGTGTCGGCGAATCTGTCAGCACAGTCAGGGGCTCCTCTTCCGGACAGAGAATATCACCCAAGGTAATCTAAGCCAACTCACAGCAGAGGGCTGTCTCCACTCCCTGGGAGTGGTACTTACAATTCTTATAGAAACCTCACTGAGGAAAGCCACGGTCCTGGAGCATCTGCCCACGTAAAATTGAAATTTTACTTCCAGGATGAGAGCCCCAGTCATACACATGAATTGCGGGTTCTTGGTGGTGGTGAGTGAGCAAACCACTCCTGCAGGACTCTGCCTGAACTTGGAGAGTAAGAGGAAAAAAGCCAAACCAACTAAGTCCTTTCTTCCTCCCAGAATGCTAAACTGTCTGAAATCCAGAATTGCTTGCATTCCTTCTGAAGTTGCCTTTCTAAGCCAAGGCCCCTGGGCACCTCTTCCTGAAGCCGTTTCACACCATCTGCCCTGCACGCGCCAGACATCCATCTCTTCATCCCGTGAGATGGGAGTTTCTGTTCTCCACCCTGGCTCCACACACTGCCCTAGGCCCATTCCTGCATGTCTCTCTTTTACGTAAGCATCTCACTTTTTATCAGCGGCCAGGTTCAAGTCACTGTCTACAATTAAATCACAGTTGCACAATAGGATTTGAAGAAATAATTCCACATAGTAGAATCTGAACAATTTCTGGAATGATCTACCACAAACAGACAGGACCCTTCACGTTCACTGCAGAGCAGTTTTAGGTTGGGTCATTTTATAACACTAGCAAGCTAATCCTTCATGGCAACCTGAAAAAAAAGAAACCCTAAGTATGTTTGCTGCAGCCGCCTCCTCCTCCTCCTCCTCTTCCTCCTCTTCCTTTTCCTCCACTTCCTCCTCCTCCTCCTCCTCCTCTTCTCAAAGCCACTGGATTATATTCCTTTTAATCTAAGCATACAGAATGCTAACTCTTAAAAAACAAAAGGAAGAGTTGTGACATCGGAGAGGGTAGAGTGAACCCAAAAGCTTGCAGCCTAACGCACTAACCACTTGTGGCCAGGAGCCTGAAGAACTCCAAGGCACGATGGCTTCTGGCCACTTGCTGACGACTGTAATTCTTTACAGCCATCTGCTG